ACTGTGAATGCTCTAGAGTGTACCGGGGTCGTGTTGGATGTGCACCTGACTCACTGTGAATGCTCTAGAGTGTACCGGAGTCGTGTTGGGTGTGCCCCTGACTCACGTGTATTTAGCATTGCTTTTGAGGGGTTGGGGAGGGAAACCTCCCTTACTGCCTGGGAGTGGCCATGGGGGTTTCTCAGCTAAGGTGACAGTCGCACTCTGTGTGGTGTATCAGGGTAGCCAGTGGGGCCTCTGAAGATTCTCGTGTGGGGCCCGGAAGTGGTATCTCAGACTGGTACCGTGCAGGGTCTTGCTGGTTGTAGCCTTTTTGTGACACGTGGTTCTGAATATCTGCCATCAGATTTGACCCGTGATGCTGGTGTCTGCCTCCCTCTATGGAGCGTGTTGCTTCACAGAGGGCGGCTTCCGCTTCTCCACTAATCTCCAGTGGGATATAACATACACCTCTTTGTACAGTGCTTTTACATGAGTTTAACTCAATTTTTTAAAAAATTTGGATTAAAATCTTAGCTATCTGAAATATTTAGGGTTATTCTTTTTAATTTTTGTATTTGTTAATTGACAAATTGCAGTTGTATGAGGTTACTTTTCTTGAGTTTTATTAAGCACCTATGTTTAACCTCAATAACATTAAAACATTTAGATGAAAACTTTTCAAAACGTATTTTGATGTTTACTACTTTTTAGCTAGAACTTCCTGCAGGTAAACCCCAGTGATGCTTGGCCGTGACTAAGAACAGTTCCTTCCACAAACTAAGACAGTGCTGCTCTTACCGCTTTGTGAGTACACGCTAGTGTTTCAAATTCCATCCAAAACCAGCTGCCCTGGGTTATGGAGCCTTATCAATTCCTGTATTTTTGCTTCCTTCCCCCCAGTCTGGTTTGCTCTGAATTAATCATCTTTTATAGCTTGCTGAATCACCTACATTTCTGTTTGGAGCCACCCCGTTTCTCTCCTCGTCCACGATTTTGTTCTCTTGTGGATTCAGAAACCAGAGGGTGGCACAGGTTGGGACTGTGGGCAGTTGGAAGGGGCACCCTCATCTTCTGAGGAAGGACTTGAGGATGCCGCTCTTTGAAACACAGTGTTCGAAGCTTCAGAGCTGTCCAGAGGCCTTTAAAACATTGCCTCGTTCTAGAGTTGTTGGCTCTTTTCCAAATCCAAATGTACTAACGGTGATAACTAAATGTATTTTAAAATAGTCTCGTTTGTTAATATGACATCTTCACTCTTACCTGGAATTCTTCACTCTTACTTAGAATTCGTCGACAGGTATTAAGTGTTGTGTGCCCCAAAGGTTGCCGGTCATTGTGGGGAACACAGAACAGTTTTAATACGTGGGGTGTATGATTCAGAAACCTTTGCTCTCTTTAGAGACACTGTAGTCAAATATTCATGGCACTGAAGGAGGTAGCCAAGATGGGTGTTTGTGCATTATTAAAATTGGTCTGTGGGAAACATGTGGATAACTTATGAGCTCTTAACTTTGATTCATAATTTAGGTCGTCTTTGACATCAGACTGGCTAGTTCCCATCCTGCGACGTGTGAGTTAGTTGGGAAGGGAATCTGCCTTTCTGGAGTTTCTACTAAAGACCCCAACTGTCTTGGTGCTGACGTAGACTGCACCTTGCTGGTCCCACTCGGAGAAGTCACTGTCACTGCACGCGCTGGCATAGCCCACACGGATACTCCTTGCTCCAGCCTTTTGCTTGCTTGTTTTTGGTGGGAAGCCCATGTGACTTCTAAGTGAGATCTGCTGGGGAGCTTATGAATCCGTCTCAATTTACTGCCCGTCATATAGAAAGTGCTCTGCACGGGGTCAGTGCGTTACCCCACCAGCACAAGATCTGTGGGCTGCCCATGACATCCTTCTCTCCCTGCATTCCTTTCGTTCCTTGGAATTCACTGTCAAGCTGTTCGAACTCTACCTGTGTTTACCTGCAATAACTGGGCTATGGAGAGAACTGTCATCATTTTGCTCCAAACAAGTATCTTCACCATTAGGATCAGCCATTGTCTTAACTGGATGTGAGCAGTGGGTTTTGGAGCAGGTTTTTCAGCATCCTAGCGATAGTTTTGGTCTTGTTTACTACATATTATGTGTTTATTATGATTGTGATTAGATAAGATACAATAAACTCTTGGTCTAATGTAGGCGTGATGTGCCTTTGATCACAGTACTGTGAGCTGTCTGTGTGTTCCTTAAGCTACAAATGAGAAAGAGATTGTGGTTTTGAATGATGTTAATGTGATTACAAGTAATAATAGCTCCATGGACAGTCTCGAGGTGATGGTGTAAGGGAGGTATGCTTGAGGGTGCCCCCAATCAATCCGTATTGTGTTCTGTTTAAAAAGAAATAGTGTGGCCGGGCGCGGTGGCTCAAGCCTGTAATCCCAGCACTTTGGGAGGCCGAGACGGGCGGATCACGAGGTCAGGAGATCGAGACCATCCTGGCTAATATGGTGAAACCCCGTCTCTACTAAGAAATACAAAAAACTAACCGGGCGAGGTGGTGGACGCCTGTAGTCCCAGCTACTCAGGAGGCTGAGGCAGGAGAATGGCGTAAACCCGGGAGGCGGAGCTTGCAGTGAGCTGAGATCCGACCACTGCACCCCAGCCTGGGTGACAGAGTGAGACTCCGTCTCAAAAAAAAAAAAAAGAGAAATACTGTAGTACCTTATTGATGTCTTTAATTACTCACAAGTTGAATCACATGGAATGAAATTCCCTTCTTTGTAAGTAAGCGTTTAAGAATTTCACCAGAGAAAACAGAGATCCATATTTGCGACCACACTGAAAAATTCTTGGTCTCTTTATGGCTTTATTGCAGAGGTGAGAGGATTTTGGTCTTCGTGGAGTAACTGAATACACATTGTATCATTTAGGATGGCTTTGGCTGCAGTTGATGGGAAACTGTGGCTCCAACTGGCTCAAACATTAGGAAATGGCCTCACGTCACAGGCAGGGCAGACCTTGAGCCTGGTGTGGCCGGTGGCAGCTCCTCTGCCCTGCTCTAAACTCTGTCCTCCCATCTCCTCGAGTATTTTGCCATTATCCTTGCGTGCCTAAGGAATCGCTGCAAAGGATGTGGGCATCCTGTGCAAATCACCTTCTCCCCTCTGCCTCCCTAAGACTCTCCACCCTCCAGCCCCCACAGGCCTCCCTCACGTCTCGTTGGCCACTGCTGGTCAGTGTCTATTCCTTAGTTCCTGATGAAGCCCATGTTGGTGAGTGTCTTAGCTTGGGCTGCCATAAAAAGCGCCACATACTGGGTGGCGTCAACATGAAAATGTGTTCCTGGGGCGGGAAGTCCGGGATCAAAGTGCTGGCTGATTCATTTCCTGGTGAGGACTCCCTTCCTGATGTGCAGACAGCTGCCTTCTCGCTGTGTCCTCACGTGATGGAGAGAGACAGAGGAAGCCTGCCCTCCAGGCCTCTTCGTCTCTTCTTATGAGGGCATGAGTCCCATTGCGAGGGCCCCACCCTCATGACCTCCTCTAACCCTAATCACCTCCCAAAGGTTCCATTTCAAATACAGACAGTCCCTGACTTATGGCTTCTTGACTTTACAATGGCATGGAACCACTATGCATTTGTAGAAATTGCATTTTGAGTCCCATACAACCATTTTATCCAATCCATTACATGAGATATTCAGCACTTTCTCATAAAAGAGGTCTTGTGTTGGATGATTTTCCCAGCTGTAGGCTGATGTGAGTGTTGTGAGCGTGTTTAAGGTAGGCTAGGCTGGCTCTGACATTCACTGCATTTTCAGCTCATGGGGTTTTAAACTTACAATGGATGTGGGGACATAGCCCCTGTGTACATCGAGGATCATCTGCAGCGTCACACCGGGTGGGGGGCTGGGACTTTCACACACGAATCTGGGGAGGGGGGCACAATTCAGTCCATCACAGTGAGACAATAAAAGTGTTGTCAGCATTGCCAGATGACAATGTGATAAATACTCTAGCGACTACAGGCCAGGAAAAGAGTTCCTGCGTCACGAAGAATGTGTATCACAGCTCTTAGCTACCAGCCTGGGTATCTCAAACGTTTATGTTAACATTTGGTACTTCTCTTTCTCTTAGTGTCGTGTGGGAGCCAATGGGAGATGGGAAGAAAATCATTTCATTGGCCGATAACCATATCCTGCTGTGGGATTTACAGGAAAGCTCAAGCCAGGCTGTGGTGAGTAAAAGGAACAACACAGCGTTTGTTTTTGTATTTTTAAACGAAACCGCATGTTCTCACTCATAGGTGGGAACTGAACAATGAGAACACTTGACACAGGGTGGGGAACACCACACACCAGGGCCTGGGGTGGTGGGAGCGGGGAGGGATAACATTAGGAGATACACCTAATGTAAATGACGAGTTAATGGGTGCAGCACACCAGCATGGCACATGTATGCGTACGTAACAAACCTGCACGTTGTGCACAGGTACCCTAGAACTTAAAGTATAATAAAAAATAATAAATAAATAAATAAATAGGACCTTTGGGCTAAATTCAGAATATAATTCTTGATTCACAACAGTTTAGAATTTTGACCTTAGTTAATGAACAGACTGAATCATCAATCAAAGAACTGAGTGATGGGGTCTTTCAGGTGAAAGCCGTTTAGATGTCACTCAGGGCTTGTGAGAGATGACGCACAGAACCCAGCTGTTTGCAAAACATCTGCCTTTTGCTGCACTTTGAGCAAAGGAGGGAGTGGGATGCCCAGGAGTATTTTCTACTGTTTCAAGCGTGCTGTACTTTTGATGAATGGATTCTTAAAGTATATTTGGGTAAAATCATACTTTAAGTAGGAGCAATTATAACATTTTAATTTCATAGTGGTGCCTCGCTCTTTTCATGTATTTGCATGAGTTATGAAAATAACGTTTAGCACTTTCTTTGGGTTGAGTTTTGCTTTTAAATATGCATCGTTTGAATACTTTGTCTCTCACAGAGTAAATATTAATATATATTTTTCATATTTGACTTCTTAAAATTTTCTGCTTTAAAATGTGGTTTTTACATGCATTCATAATTTCATTGCGTTTGTTTATGTCAAAGTAACCACTTTAGAAAAGAGAAAAGGGAAGAACTTTGAACTGATAGCGCTTACAATGTCATTTACGCCTCAGGGGCCGCGTTGCCTACACACAGTCAAAGGGATCTCGCAAGCATCCATTGGATAGATTTCTCCAGTGATGGCCTCATCTTATATTTATTTGTTCCTAACATGTTTTTTTAGCTCTTCTCCCTCATGATGCCTTAGAATATTAATAAGTCCTTTCCTCACCCCTCTAGGCTGACGAGGTGGCATGAATAATGATCCATCATTATTAATAAGTGGCACAGAAGTAAGACTTAAAAATATTAAATGTCCTGTTAAAGCTTTAAACCTCTGAATGGACAAAAGGGAGTCTCACAGCCTTCACTGTGGAATTAAGTGTTGGGCATTCACCCGGAGCATCAACGGTATTTAAGGAAGAGATTTATTATTTTTATGAGAAACTTTAAATGTAAGGCATAGCTTCATATCTTGGAGTAGAATGCAAATTTCACACAAACTTTTAAGATAAAACAGGAAACTTGAATCATATTTCATGCCTGAGATTGACCCTTGTGGACCACACCTGCAGGCCGGGGAGGTCTCATGCCTGAGATTGACCCCTGTGGACCACACCTGCAGGCCGGGGAGATATGTTCACAGTCTCCACCTTCCGGGAGATTTGGCAGAGTCCTGGTCACGGTCGAAGGCGATGCCTTCCTTGTCCCTTCCCTCTGCGTTTTCGCGGGGCGTTCCCACTTAACCGTAAACCTCCAGGAAGAAGGAGGAAAATACTTTCCTATTGAAACGCCAGGCTCATGGTAGGCTTTAGGCAAGACACTTGGGCAGAGGGCCCAGCTCCTCCTGGTGCAGACACTTAGGCAGAGGGCTCAGCTCCTGGTGCAGACACCTGGGGAGAGGGCTCAGCTCCTGGTGTAGACACTTGGGGAGAGGGCTCAGCTCCTGGTGCAGACACTTAGGCAGAGGGCTCAGCTCCTGGTGCAGACACTTGGGGAGAGGGCTCCGCTCCTGGTGCAGACACTTGGGGAGAGGGCTCTGCTCCTGGTGTAGACACTTGGGAAGAAGGCTCTGCTCCTGGTGCAGACACTTGGGGAGAGGGCTCAGCTCCTGGTGTAGACACTTGGGGAGAGGGCTCAGCTCCTGGTGTAGACACTTTGGCAGAGGGCTCAGCTCCTGGTGCAGACACTTGGGGAGAGGGCTCAGCTCCTGGTGTAGACACTTGGGCAGAGGGCTCAGCTCCTGGTGCAGACACTTGGGGAGAGGGCTCAGCTCCTGGTGTAGACACTTGGGGAGAGGGCTCTGCTCCTGGTGTAGACACTTGGGGAGAGGGCTCAGCTCCTGGTGTAGACACTTGGGGAGAGGGCTCAGCTCCTGGTGCAGACACTTAGGCAGAGGGCTCAGCTCCTGGTGCAGACACCTGGGGAGAGGGCTCAGCTCCTGGTGTAGACACCTGGGGAGAGGGCTCAGCTCCTGGTGCAGACACCTGGGGAGAGGGCTCCGCTCCTGGTGCAGACACTTGGGAAGAAGGCTCTGCTCCTGGTGCAGACACTTGGGAAGAGGGCTCCGCTCCTGGTGTAGACACTTGGGGAGAGGGCTCTGCTCCTGGTGTAGACACTTGGGCAGAGGGTCCTGCTCCTGGTGTAGACACCTGGGGAGAGGGCTCTGCTCCTGGTGTGGGAAGAGCTGGCTGGAGCCTTCTGCACACCTACTGTGCTCGCCGTCTCAGGGAGGTTGCCAGGGAGAAAGGAAACCCCAAGTCCCACACGTTAGGATGCGGCAGGTTCTCATCTGCCCCAACTTTGGAGGCCTATTCTGTAATCAAACTGTGAACACATCTTCAGAGCCTCGGTCATCTCAAATGGATTTCATGGTAGGGTGATTAATCTGTAACTTATTTTCTGCAGAGATCAATTTAGTTTTCTCTCCCCCTTTTTTATCCACTGTCAGCAGTTCTGTCAATATCACTTTGTGACCCTCCACTACAGTATTTAATACAGAAACCTTCCTATCGATTTCAGCCGTCTTCACACCCAGCTTCTCAATGTTTTTTTATTGTTTGAGGATATTGCCTTCTGTGGTGAATCTAATCTCATGCTCACTGCATCATTACCTTTTGCAATTAAATCGGAGATTCCTTGCCATTTATAATCATTAGCAGAACTCAGGGGAGGCCTGGAGTGGAAGGTTCCGTGGGGGCCACAGACCCCAGTGAGGGCAGAGGGATGGCCGCCCTGTGTCTGTGCTTGCTCGTTCATCTTCGCCTCTCCCAGCTTTCACTCGCCATGAAATAAATAGCTTCTGTCAAGGAGCCGACAGTAAGCCAGAAGAAGGAAGCTTGCCTGAGGATTCGCTGCCACCTCTGCCTTCTGTTCACACAGGAGAGCAGGAGCTCCTTGAAGGTGGCCATCTAGAGAGTGCCATCTGCTCGGCGTGACACACAGCACCTCTTCGAGGGAAGGGAGTGTGCTTCAGGAACACAGTGTTTCTGTTGGAAAGTTTCTAATCCGAGGTTTAAAATGTAGCGCAGGAGGATCAGATAAACAAACATAAGCTGGGGGGTGCTCCTAGCAACAGCAGCAACGCCACGTTCAGGGTGTCTGTAAATGCAAACAGCGTTTGTGTTTTGGGGACCAAGAGAGCAGTGGGCAGAAGCCGAGTTTAATGTCAGGGCTTGTGGGGAGGGGCTCAGAACTTGGTGGGGGTTGGTGGGTTCTGTGGCCCCCGCCAGTGCACCTTGGAAAGCCTGTTCTGTTTTCATCTTTCTCGTTCTCCAAACTGGAAGAGACGCGGTGCCGAGGAAAGGAAGAAACTTGTTTTGTTAAAGTGGAGAACTTCGTGTGTAGAACCTGACCACTGGTTCCAGCGGCCACCCTCCTGTTCACAGCAACGTGCCCATAGGTGGATTCAATTGTCTTTGTATTTCTGATATTTTATTACAATTTTATTTATTTATTTTTAAACTTGCGTTTTAGGTTCGGGGTACGTGTGCAGGTTGTGACGTAGGTAAATTGCGTGTCACAGGGGTATGGTATACTGATGACTTCATGACCCAGGTAATAAGCACAGCACCGATGGGGAGTTTACAGTCCTCTCTCCTCCCTTCCTCCACCCAAACTATGCTCTCACTTAGAAGTGGGAGCTAGGCCAGGCACGGTGGCTCACGCCTGTAATCCCAGCACTTTGGGAGGCTGAGGCGGGTGGATCACCTTACATCAGGAGTTCAAGGCCAGCCTGGCCAACGTCATGAAACCCCGTCTCTACTAAAAATAAAAATAAATTAGCCAGGCGTGTCATGTGCCTGCAATCCCAGCTAGTCAGGAGCCTGGGACAGGGAGAATTGCTTGAACCTGGGAGACAGAGGTTGCAGTGAGCCAAGATCACACCACTGCACTCCAGCCTGGTGACAGAGCGAGACTCCGTCTCAAAAAAAAAAAAAAAAAAAAAGAAGGGGGAGGTGAACCCTGAGAAGACCTGAACACGGAGAATGGGACAGCAGCACCGGGACCTCCTCAGCTCGCCTGCGGACATTGTTGTCTTGTCTAGAAATCAAGCATGCTCACCCCTGCATGTGGCTGTCATTGCCGTGGGGGTGTTCAGGGGCACCTCCTTGTCCTAGTGTCTGTCTCCTGTCCTCTGTGGCAATGCAAACCAGGACAAGCCTCACTCCCCAGCCTCTCTGTAGCCGGGTGTGGCCGTGGACTGAGTTCTGGACAAACAGATGTGGGTGGGACGGGTGCGTTCACCCTGAATGAGAAGACGTTCCCTTCGCGTTTTAGGTCTCTGCTCCTGAGAGGTGGAGGCGGCTGGCAATGTTCTTCCCTATTCTGTCACTTTTCTTTTCCTTTTTTTAGTAGGGTCTTTTTCAGAGTAAAAGTTTCTCTCTTTTTTTTTTTTTAGAACAGTTTTAAGTTCACAGCAAAATGGAGTGGATGATACAGAGATTTCCCACAGCCTCCCCCACTCTCAGCATATCCCCCGCTGGTGTGAGACCTTTGTTATCACTGATGAACCCACACGGGCACATCACCGTCACCCAGAGCCCCTCGTTGACATTAGGGCTCCCTCTTGGTGCTGGACGTTCTGTGGGTTTGGACAAATGTGTCCTGACACCTGTCTTCCACTGTG